TAGTGCAATATGCCCATTTTACAGATGAGGAAACTGAGGTATAGAATGGGAAAGAAACTAACCCCACACTTTCAAATAAATTATATATAGGAGGGAGCAAGCATAGCATTTTGTGTATATCCAAAGAGGATATGGGTTAAAACAGGTTGAAGAAAATAGATTTAAGTTGAGGTGTAAATGGTGGGTTTCCAAGCTAATGACTAGGAACTTTTAATAAGAGTTCTAAAGTCTAGCTATGTGGGTTCATGTTGTAGAGGCAGCAGGGATTTTAAGTCTTGAAGATCCAGGTTTGATTTACAGCTGAGCCCTCTAATAGCTATGATGCACTGAGCAAGTCACTGGTTGTCTGTAGGGCTCATTTTCTCATCTGGGCAATGAGGATTGGGAGGTGTATCAGTTAGCTATTGCTTTATAACAAACCAACCCCCAAATTAGTGCTTTTGTTTGTTTTTTTGAGACTGGCCAGTTAGGGGATCTGAATGCTTGACCTTGGTGTTACAACACCATGCTGTAACCAACTGAACTAACTAGGTAGCCCAATGGTTTAAATGACCATTTACTATTCTCTGAGTCTATGGGTTGGCTTGGTGATTTTGCTGAGCAAAGCTGGGCTTGGCAAGCTCACTCATATATCTACACTCAGGTCACTCTCTTTATGTTGGCTCTCTCACCTGTGTAAGGGCCTGAGTTTTGCATCCTCTGGCAGGCCAGCTTGGGCTTGTTCTCATGGTAATGGCAGGGTTCCAGGAGAGAGGGACAAAACAATTCTCTTGCAGCCTAGGCTAAGAACTAACACAACATTCCTTCCACTACTTTCCATTAGTTAAAGCCAGTCACAAAAATTTACAGGGGTGGGGAAACAGAACCCACCTCTTGTGGGGAGGAGCTACAAAATTACTTTGCAAAGAGCACAGACACAGAGAGATGTAGGCTATTGTGGTTATTTATGCAATCAGTTTACCCCAGGAAACAAACTCTCCTTAAACTCAGAGGAGGTATAGGGGAGGTAGAGGGTGGTAGGGGAGTTCAGACACTGCATTCAAAGACCTGACAGTGCTTTGTAAATTGTTAGCACCCCACAGAGGGCAGTGCTTCTGAGTGTGATGTGCCACCTCACATGTGGGGCTGTGAATTCCTGTCTTAGTCCCTTTGTGCTGCTATAACAAAATACCTGAGACTGAATAATTTATAAAGAACAGAAAGTTTATTTCTTACTGTTCTAGAGGCTGGGAAGCCCAAGATCAAAGCACAGGGCTCCCTCTCTGTTTATAGATGGTGCCTTGTTGCTGTGTCCTCACTTGGTGGAAGAGTACAAGGGCGAGAGGGCTGCCCTCCCTCACCTCTTTCATAAGGTCATTAATGCCATTCATGAGAGCCAGTCCTCACAACTTAATCATCTCCTCTATAAAGCCCCACCTTCTAATACCATCCCCTTGGTGATTAGGTTTCAACATATAAATTTGGGAGGGACACATACATTCAAACCATAGCAGTTCCTTAGAGCAGGACTGTGTCCCTCTCATTACCTCCAGTTCAGTAGGCTGCTTGGAAAGCCTCACAGAAGTGAAAGGAAATGGAGAAGTGGGCAGTTTTTGTCCCAGGACAAAGACAGACTTCAAATCCTCTGGAATCTGAGAAGCTCCCTACCCCCACTAGAGCTCTCCTCCCCCTCCAGGCAACCCTGCCCCCCCACCTTGGAGAGAGCTGGGGAAGGTATTGCCTGTCTCCCCATTTGACAGCTGAAGACAGGTTAGGGTGACTCGCTCAAGGTTACCAGCTAACTGGGGAGGACCCTGATCCTGCACCAGGGCCTGCCTGAGGGGCTGCAGGTAAGAGCAAGAGTAACTCTCCCTTGCATGAACCACCGGAGCGCAGGTGCCTGCTGTTCTAGCTCACAGAGTGGTATGGTGTTGCCTCATGTCACAGATGCCTCTGCTAACACAAGTGGAGCCCTGGAAACCCACCCCCACTGGATCTTTGCATCCGCCTGCTCTTCTATTCTGCAGCTTCAGCCTCCAGCTTGCCTCTCTCAACCCACCTCCGCACTGCCTTCCCAAAACACTGGTAGGATTGCATCACATCTCTGCTTAAAATAGTGAGCTAACATTTATCGAGCCCTTGCAAAGGGAGAGGTGCTGTTCTAAGCTCTTTCCTTGAATTAAGTTGCATAATGTTCACAACAATTCTGTGGCCAGTCACATTTTACAAATAAGGAAACTGAGGCACAAGAAGTTAAACAGTAAGTAAATGAGAAATTTAAAACTTGAACTCAGGCAGTCTGTTTCCTGAGTTTGGGCTTCCTCAGGCCATATAATCCCTCTCGGTATGTCTCTTGGACCTTGATGTTATCAGCACCACACTCTAACCAACTGGGCTAACCGGCCAGCCCTCCTCTCCATGTCTCTATTTTTCTAATAATAATAATAATAATGATGATAACATGCATGGATTGCTTACTATATGTTAGGACTTCTGGTTGTGTTACATGTATCAACTCATTTGATTCTTACAATAGTAGTAGAGTATTGGGAGGTACTATTATCTTTATTTTACATGTAAGGAAACTGAGGCACAGAGAGTCACACAACAAAGATGGGTTACTAAACAGTCCAGCTGTAGAGTCAACAGTCCAGCTGTAGAGTCAAGCTCTCCCTTGTGCTGTCGTGCTTCTCTGAGAGCTATTCAGCCCAAGGGCCCATAATCCAAGGCTCTCTGAGTTCATGCAGCATGTTCTCTGCATTTCTACCAAAGCCTGTCTTTTATTTAGTTTCCTGATCTATGCATGCCTTTTCCCTTCCTGATCACACCTCAAGTTCCACATGGCCAGAATTTGTCTAGTATTTGCTTCAGTTTCCCCAGCTCATAGCAAGAGGACTATCTTACTAGCAGGGGTCAGTGGATGTCTCTTGAATTGAACCTCAGGATGTCAGAAGGGTCTCAAGATCCTCTTTGCAGGAATGAAGTGGCCACCCACCGTGACCTGTAAGTTAGACACAGTCCAGGACTTGCTGCCTTGGCCTCCAAACCCATTCGTAACCTTCAGATCCTTTTTGTAAATTAAATCTATTTAATATGCCCACAGGGAGCTTACTACGTAGATAAGAATCATTACAGCAAACACAAGTGAATGCTTTGTAAACAGAGTTCCTAAAGTAACAAATCTTGGCACTACTCTGGACAGGTTATAAACATGGTGATTAAGCCTCAGGAATGGCCAGAGTTTCCCTATGACTATAATCTTATTTTCCCCTTCTTGAGAGGAAGAGAGGGTCTGGAAGAATGCTTCTCATTTTACAAAAGGGAAAGTTGAGTTACCCAAGGTCACCCAGCAAGTGAAGGGTGAACTGATGGCTAGAATTCCATTCTTAGGAGATGGAGTGAGGTGATCTCACAAGACCCACTTTGCACTGGGGTTTCCATCATCTGCATCTTTCAGCTCCTCTCTTCTAGGGAAAATGAGGTTTAGGGATTTGAAACTTAGAAAGAGCATCAGTGCTGCATGGGAGCTGAAGCACTCACTCCGGACTGAAGACTTAGATACACAAGGCGTTGGGCCCTTCCCAGATATGCTCAAGAGCCTGACTCAAGGCCCTCGGGCCCAGATTCTTTCAATAACATTCAAGGCTGTCCACAGCTGGGGCTTTCATTCAGTCAGTAAACATTTATGGAGGGCCTACTCTGTGCCAGGCACCATTGTTAAAGGACCTCACAGACTCCTAACAATCCTGTAAGGTAGGCATTATAGCCGTCCTCCTTTTACAGGTAAAGGCACATATTCAGAGAGGCAAAAATAACCAGGAGCTACCCCAGTCTAGTGTTTCTGGAGTCACAAAGCACTTTCTGGTAGCCCACCCCACAGTGCCCCGTTTTCCAGGGGCAGTAATGGGAGCACTGCTTGATGGTTAAGAGCCCGGGCTTTGCTTGGATTAGACACGAGTTTGAGTCCCAACTCAGCCACCTGCTTGACCCACAGAAGTCATCTAACCTCTCTTGTCCTCAGTTACCTCATCAGTAAAATGAGAAATATGCCTTTCTCATGGGGCTGTTGGGAGAGCAAATGAGACAGAAGCACAAAGTCCTGTGAGAGAAGCCTAGAGAGGAGAGAGAGAGACAAAGAGAGAGAGAGAGAGAGAGTGAGTGTGTGTGTGTGTGTGTGTGTGTGTGTGATTTACCCCTCCAGTGAAGGGTACCAGGTCCTTCTGCTTATTGGGTGTTAAATTCAAGAGGGCCCAGAACTAGAAGAGGGTGACCTTGGGGAGGCCAGTCTGCCGGAAGTGGCTGAGCAGAAAGACAAGTGATGGGTAGTTGTGGCCATGAAGAGCTCAGAGCGAGAGACACGCGACCCGAGGTTGGGGAAAGACGAGTGGGCAGCGGGTGGGCGCCCAGAGGCACCTCTGGTGTCCATCTCCAGGAGGGCACCCCGGAGGCCCCGCGCTGGAGAGAAGTGGGCGCTCTGCGGTGCCCTGCCCCGACGCCTGGTTCTCCAGGAAAGACGCTGCTCAAGTGTTTGCGGAGGTTAGTAAGGTCCCAGTCTATGGCTGCTCCCTGTCCTCTTGGCGGGCCTGTACCGCAGGGGGCTCTGGCTGGGCCCCGTCTTCCGGGAGCTGGGGCTCCGGGCGCGCGGGGCGGAGGCCGGGCGGGGGGCTGCGGCGCCTGCTGCTATGCTCGTGCTTCCGAGGGCGCCCACGCAGAGCGGGTACCCTTCCCGCCCACCTGCGGGGCCTGGCACAGTGCCGGAGGACGCGACGGCGATCCCCGCCTGGCCGCCGGACTCGACCTTGGCCGTCGCGCCCCGCCTGCCTCGCGCCCGCTGCCGGGCGACGGCGCGCGTCCCCGTGGGCCACGGCCGCGCC